ACCAAAATCCAGACCCGAAAAACCATCTAAACCAAGCAAGGGAACTAAGCCACGTCCATCTAAGCCTAGCAAGGGATCAAAACCAAAACCAGAAAGATGCGGTAGTGCAATGAGAAGAGTTGAAAGCGAGAAATGCGCTGCAAGAAACGGAAGATTCAATGCCAGTAGATGTAGATGTACTTCAGCTGGTAAACCATCAGCTCCAAGATCAAGACCAAGCAAGGGATCTAAGCCTAGCAAGGGATCCAAACCAGAAGGACCATCTAAACCAAAATCCAGACCCGAAAAACCATCTAAACCAAGCAAGGGAACTAAGCCACGTCCATCTAAGCCTAGCAAGGGAACTAAACCACGTCCATCTAAGCCTAGCAAGGGATCAAAACCAAAACCAGAAAGATGCGGTAGTGCAATGAGAAGAGTTGAAAGCGAGAAATGCGCTGCAAGAAACGGAAGATTCAATGCCAGTAGATGTAGATGTACTTCAGCTGGTAAACCATCAGCTCCAAGATCAAGACCAAGCAAGGGATCTAAGCCTAGCAAGGGATCCAAACCAGAAGGACCATCTAAACCAAAATCCAGACCCGAAAAACCATCTAAACCAAGCAAGGGAACTAAGCCACGTCCATCTAAGCCTAGCAAGGGAACTAAACCACGTCCATCTAAGCCTAGCAAGGGATCAAAACCAAAACCAGAAAGATGCGGTAGTGCAATGAGAAGAGTTGAAAGCGAGAAATGCGCTGCAAGAAACGGAAGATTCAATGCCAGTAGATGTAGATGTACTTCAGCTGGTAAACCATCAGCTCCAAGATCAAGACCAAGCAAGGGATCTAAGCCTAGCAAGGGATCCAAACCAGAAGGACCATCTAAACCAAAATCCAGACCCGAAAAACCATCTAAACCAAGCAAGGGAACTAAGCCACGTCCATCTAAGCCTAGCAAGGGAACTAAACCACGTCCATCTAAGCCTAGCAAGGGAACTAAACCAAAACCAGAAAGATGCGGTAGTGCAATGAGAAGAGTTGAAAGCGAGAAATGCGCTGCAAGAAACGGAAGATTCAATGCCAGTAGATGTAGATGTACTTCAGCTGGTAAACCATCAGCTCCAAGATCAAGACCAAGCAAGGGATCTAAGCCTAGCAAGGGATCCAAACCAGAAGGACCATCTAAACCAAAATCCAGACCCGAAAAACCATCTAAACCAAGCAAGGGAACTAAGCCACGTCCATCTAAGCCTAGCAAGGGAACTAAACCACGTCCATCTAAGCCTAGCAAGGGATCAAAACCAAAACCAGAAAGATGCGGTAGTGCAATGAAAAGAGTTGAAAGCGAGAAATGCGCAGCAAGAAGCGGAAGATTCAATGCCAGTAGATGTAGATGTACTTCAGCTGGTAAACCATCAGCTCCAAGATCAAGACCAAGCAAGGGATCTAAGCCTAGCAAGGGATCCAAACCAGAAGGACCATCTAAACCAAAATCCAGACCCGAAAAACCATCTAAACCAAGCAAGGGAACTAAGCCACGTCCATCTAAGCCTAGCAAGGGAACTAAACCACGTCCATCTAAGCCTAGCAAGGGATCAAAACCAAAACCAGAAAGATGCGGTAGTGCAATGAGAAGAGTTGAAAGCGAGAAATGCGCTGCAAGAAACGGAAGATTCAATGCCAGTAGATGTAGATGTACTTCAGCTGGTAAACCATCAGCTCCAAGATCAAGACCAAGCAAGGGATCTAAGCCTAGCAAGGGATCCAAACCAGAAGGACCATCTAAACCAAAATCCAGACCCGAAAAACCATCTAAACCAAGCAAGGGAACTAAGCCACGTCCATCTAAGCCTAGCAAGGGAACTAAACCACGTCCATCTAAGCCTAGCAAGGGATCAAAACCAAAACCAGAAAGATGCGGTAGTGCAATGAGAAGAGTTGAAAGCGAGAAATGCGCTGCAAGAAACGGAAGATTCAATGCCAGTAGATGTAGATGTACTTCAGCTGGTAAACCATCAGCTCCAAGATCAAGACCAAGCAAGGGATCTAAGCCTAGCAAGGGATCCAAACCAGAAGGACCATCTAAACCAAAATCCAGACCCGAAAAACCATCTAAACCAAGCAAGGGAACTAAGCCACGTCCATCTAAGCCTAGCAAGGGAACTAAACCACGTCCATCTAAGCCTAGCAAGGGATCAAAACCAAAACCAGAAAGATGCGGTAGTGCAATGAGAAGAGTTGAAAGCGAGAAATGCGCAGCAAGAAACGGAAGATTCAATGCCAGTAGATGTAGATGTACTTCAGCTGGTAAACCTAGTAAATCTGAACCAAGAACTGAGCGTCCTACAACTTGTATTGAATCAAGTGAAAGTGAAGAAACACCAACTCCAGTTAAAACAACTTGTGAGGAGTCAGAAGAAAGTAAGGAAACACCAACTGAAGGACCAACGACATGTGTTGAATCCAGCGAAAGTAATGAGACACCAAAACCAGCCGTTTGTGATGATGCAATGAGAAAAACTGAATCTGAAAAGTGTGCTAAGTCAGGTGGCAAATTTAATCCTGATAATTGTAAATGCACTAAAGAACCTGTTACGGAGGGACCAACAACTTGTGTCGAATCAAGCGAAAGCAATGAGGAAGTTACCACAAAGAGTAAGTTTTTAATTATTCTAAGATTTATTTATTTTTAACTAATATTCATTAATTATCTTGTAGAACCATGTGACTGTACTTGTTCACCAGATTGCAAGCGTCGTAAGATGATCATTGATGTATTGCTCAAATACTTCTACCGTGATGTCTACGATCAAGATTGCTGCAAAAAGACCTGCAACTGCGATGGTGCTAAATTCCCAGAATGTGAAGAATCCAACAACAAAAAGACTGGAACATTCGATATTTTGGCTAAACTCTTCAAACCACAAGGCGGAGAATTTGAAGCTGGAAGTGTTGAAGTTGATGGCAAAAAATTGACATCTGAAAAGAAGGAGAAATTCGGCAAGGCACTCCAAGATGCTGTCAAGGGCTTGGAAGATATCCTTAGCTCTTAAATTACTACTAGAAACTATATTTTAAATTCCTCACTATTTTATAGCTCTTAATAGTAAGTCTACTTTGGCAATCCGTATCCTTAATTATGGTGATTAGATCCTCTAACTTTATAATTTTAAGTTAACTTTCTACTTGTTTTTCCATTTTCCCCGCTATCTTGCAATGTAACTGAATCCTTCTACTTTGAATTAGAATCACTTTCGTCTATCCAGCACAAAGTCTTTATTTTGTTGTTTTCCGTAAAGCAAAAATCTGAGTGTAAGAGAATTTTGTCTTTTTTATGCATAATAAAGCACCAATACTGCACAGCAAAAAAAAAGAGAATTTTATTTTAATTTTTGATTTTTTTTGCAGATAATTTCTTGCTTTCAGGTGCCAGTTCTTACGACTAGCCAACATGATATTAAATTGTCAATTTTTTATTTTCTTAAAAAATATTTGTTTCGTGGGATACGAGACATTTTCGAGAGATTTTTCAAAAAATATCTGGTCTCCTTAAGGATTTCTCAAAGGGTGTGGTACAAAAGATTTTGTTCTAATTTGAATCGCAGTGCCTCCAGCTGAAAGGCTGGGCCCTTCACACATTATTATTATTAAGGACTTCTCATTATAAACTAGCTTATGTTAAATGCACACAAATCGATACATTTCGATGCTAAAACTGGGCGGCCTCGTAACCAGTTACGAGCACTACATGTGATAGAATCAGGTAAGTTGATGCTGACTTTGGCGAAATAGCTAAATAATCCATAAAATGGTTCACAGGTTTTCGATTCAACCCCTTTTTTCTGGCAGCGCGCCTGCCAAGAAATGAATGTTGTGAATGTGCTCAAATCAAATCATTCAATGTGAAGGAAAAATGTTAATAGACTATCGAAGTGTGGTCAAAAGCTTACATTTCAACAACCAAGTTGAACAATTAGTGTGCTTCTATCTGTTCTATCAGCTGGATGTAAATTCATTTTAATGGGAAGTCGTATAAACTTTGTGAAAGGAGCGAAACTTGGATATTTTTCTTAAAAAATACCTGGCAAATTGAAAACGCTTTTTCAGAAAGAAAGAGCGATTGATGTCAATCCTGGAAACAATGGAGCTGGTAAAATTAAGCTTTTTTGTGATTTTTTAATAATTCTCTAATACGGTCGAATACAAGGCGCGTATACCGTAGGGAGGATGTGGGATCACACGTTTAAGGAAGGATCCCACAGACATACCGCAAGAAGCTGTATTCTGGAATCCGCCAAGTAGGCAGACTACTTAGCAATCGTCTATTCTTCTAAGAAGTGGCTTTGCAAAGCTATCAACTCAATGAGCTCGCGGCATCGGCTAGCAATCCCCTTAGGATCAAATGTTTCGTAAACGCCTTACAATTTACAGTGGAGTAAAAGGACATCATCATCATCAATCAAAAATTCGCCCACTTTTCTAATTCCTGGCTACGCCCATAATTCAAGTTATTTATAAGCAGTAATCTTACAGCAGAGGTGTAGCCAGGAATTTGAAGAAGGGGAGACAAAAAATTTTTTTGTATTGAAAAATTTAGGGGGGGGGGGGGGGGGGGGTGTTGGGGTTTTTCATAAAAACCCTAGCAAAATAAAGAAATTTATTTTTACGTTGGGGGATTTGTCCCCCCCCCCCATCTTGACTACGTACCTGCCTTACAGTATTGCTTCTTATTATTATCTTAAGGCTCGTAGACAGAGATGTGTTAAGGGTCGAAACCCATACCTTCATATTAATATAAATCAATATAATTATTACAAGAACTACTACAACAGGTGACAATAAACTTCAAAACATTTAATACAATAACACACTATAATGTGTAGATCTCTAGTTGTACATGCTGATAGAGCTTGTTAAGTACATCAAAAACATATTGTACAAGTACAATTTTAATACAAAATTTCCAGACTTCTTATTTAGATTATAGACTGTTTCATTTTTTCAGTATATTTTAGATTGCTGAGGTATTTAGACTCAAAAAGTTTCAGTTTTATTAAGAATTTTGAATTATATATTCCTGGATTAGATGTTGAAAGTAATGCGTTCTCCTAGATTTGTCACTTTGACAACCATTACAGTTCTGATATTGCTTTGGATCATCTTAATTAAAAGTAAACAAAAGTTTGTGGACGATGTGGCTCTGTTGAACTGTAAATTCATTAAAGAATACTCGTAAGTGTTTATTTTATTGGAGAATAGCTTCATGTAGATGCACAACTTGAAATGTTTCGAGATTTGGACTCTAATGAACTCTCCTGGCTCCTCAATAAGCTTTGTAGGCTTTTAATTGCAATTTTGGGATTCTCCTTCTTGATTCCATCTTAGATGTTTACATTCTTAAAAATGTTAGGTTTTGAATAGTTGTGTAAGACAGTGGTGGACAACCTTTTTTATGACACGGCACACCTGTTGATTAGCCATGACCAAAAGCGTACACATCATACGGTTCGTAAGATAGCACAAAATGTTCGCGGCACACAGGTTGACCATCACTGGTTGAGGAAATTGACCACAATTTTAATTTAATGCAGGGTTTCTCAAACTATGCTCCACAAAGCACTAGTGTTCCACAAGAGAAACCAAAGAGCTTTAACAGTGCCAAATAATGTAAATTCAATTGATTAACAAAAGATTTACTACAACGGAGACTAAAAAGTTTGAGAAACACTGGTTTAATGGCTTCTACAGCTTGCTGATGTCTTAAATGGCTTAATAGCTATTTTATCTCTTTTCAAAATGATTTAAACTAATCAATTCCATCTTTTTTAGCCAATACACCTGCCTCGTCCGCAACCTTACTATCAAGTACAACCCTCCACTCAAAACCACAGTCACAGGCGAACATTACAACTCATACCAAAATCAAGACGTATCTGAACTTTACATCTACAAATGCTTAACTGTCTACCTTCCATACTATATTTCAAATCAATTTCCAAAGCTCACAAATTTCGAGGTCATGCATTCACACTTGCGAGTTATTGAAAGAAAGAACTTTATTGGATTGACTGATTTGACTGATTTGAGGTTGGATCATAATGATATTGAGGTTGTGCCTTGGAATGTCTTTTATGATCTCGAAAGCATTGTTTATTTGTCGCTGAGTGATAATAAAATTTTGGAACTGCCTGGAAAATTATTGCAGCCACTTGACAAGCTCAGTTGGTTTACTGCTGATCGGAATCGTCTTAAGAAGCTTAATGTTGATTTGTTAAATGAGAATTTAAAAGAACTGGAAGCTGTGAACTTTAACAAGAATCAATTGAGTGAGATTTTTGTAGATTTTTCGAAGATTCGGAAGCTTAAGTATGTGGATCTGCAGGAAAATGTCTGTGTTAATGAGTTGATGAAGAAGAATTATCTAAATCGTGAAGATTTCGTGGATGAGATTCAAAAGAAATTGGTAAATTGTAGTGTAAAGCACGTTCAAGATTTGAGTATACAATAAATTATTAAAAATTAATGTTTGCCTGTTTGAAGAAAAGGTTTTGAAATTGAAACATTAATAATTGAGTGTAATACTTTTAAGTCAAGTCAACTTGCTTTTCAATCTAGTCACGTTCACTTGAAAGGCTCGGCTCATCAAAAATATCAAAGACACATTTCTCAACTTGAAAGCTGTTGAAGTGTTTCATTTTCCATTTGATAATGATGGATCATGATCGATCGATGTGTCTTGAAAATGAAATGAGACATTATTGTGTCTATGTTATTGCATAACCTCAAAATTCACAAAATTTAAATACAAAATTCCTGAATTTAAGTTCAAAATAATAGGATTTAACCCCAAAATTCATGACATAACCTTCAAATTTTGTGAAAAAATTAATAAACATAACCTCAAAATTAATTTTATAATCTTCAATTATTCTTCATAACCTCAAAGTACAAATTCATAGATTCAAAATTAAACTGTATAACCTCAAAATTTTTTGCATAACTTCAAAATTAGCTTTTATAACCTATAATTAGGCTTCATAACCTCAAATTAATATCATAGCTTTAAAATTAAGCCAAATTACCTCAAAATTTAGATAAATAACCTTAAAATTTTCTAAAATAACCTTAAAAGTAAGATTAACAGCCTCATTTTTTGAACCTAACCTCAAATTTTGAAAAAAGTGATCATTTTACTGTAAATAGCCATTTACTTTACCTTTAAGAATCCCAAAAAGTCCATCTACCAGAAAAAGTCTCACAGCACCTCACACAAGTCGGCTAAATTTCCTTTGATGTCGTCCAGAATTAATTACAAAGCATTTGTCCAGTGCAATAAATAATGTCTCAATAACATCTTTTTGCATCTTCTTCTTTCCCTCCTTTCATCTACCCTTGTATTATGTCATTTCATGGTAGGTAATGGCAATTAATGAACCTTTCATCAGCACCTTCACTCGTCTCTCTTTTAATGCTTGTGTGACGAATCATCATCATCATCTTCAGTACAATCGTCATGATCATCAGGTGAATGGAATAAGATGAAGAAGTCGGCAATTTTAAAGAAGGAAAGAAAAAAATTGGAAGCAAAGAATGCGAAAATTTGTTCCGGTTGATTGCGATTTTATGGAAAGAATTCTCTTTTTTTGTAGGAAAGTTGTTGAGGCTGGGAAGCTTTGAGGATTATTTTGGCAAGATAACCTCAAAACTCAAAGTAAATAACCTCAACACATAGGCAACATAACCTCAAAACATAGGCAATATAGCCTCTAAGGATAGGCAGCATAGCCTCAAAATCTTAAATTTTAAGCAACATAGTCTCAAAATTACAGCAACATAACCTCAAAATTTCAGCAACATAACCTCAAAATTTCAGCAACATAACCCCAAAATTTAAGCAACATAAACTCAAAATTTAATCAACATAACCCCAAAATTTAAGCAACATAACCTCAAAATTTAAGCAACATAAACTCAAAATTTAATAAACCTAACCTCAAAATTTAATAAACCTAACCCCAAAATTTAAGCAACATAAACTCATAATTTAATCAACATAACCCCAAAATTTAAGCAACATAACCTCAAAATTTAGCGACATAACCCTAAAAGGTAGTTAAAAATGATCTTAAGCTATAGTCACACCTAGTGTCCACCCCTAACCTCAAAAAATTATTTTTTTCTTCCTCAACATCTTCATTATATAAACCCAACAATCAGAAACCGAAATTCTCCGCATTTTTGTAAATAACAAAAAAGTTTGTTCCATAATTAGATGAGAATTATCACAAAAAAGTCTATTTGTGAGTTAATTTTGCGTCTTTTTCCCTTGTTCGGTTACATCTTTTGTTCCTTAATGTAAGGTGTTAATTTTCTATTCAAAAATGGATGAAGGTAGTAAGTCATTAATTTGTTCATTTAAGGCATTTGAAAAATAAATAAAAAATTTCATGGGAAAGTGACATGACGTATTTCTGGGTTTGGTGGGAACTTCTTGGATGTGATTTAAATTTTTTGGAGGTTAAATTGGATTATAAATGGCGGATTTTGAGGTTACGTTCTGGAACTTTATGGTAATTTTTATTAAAAATTGAGGTTATGTTGGCCTAATTTTCAGGTTATGTTCATATAATTTTAAGGTTATGTTGACCAAATTTTTGAGGTTAGGTCGACTACACTTTGAGGTTATGTTGCCTGAACTTGAGGTTTTGCTGTTTTTTTATTTATGAGGCTTTTTAACGTCAGTTTTGAGGTTATATATCGATTTTTTTAAAATGTCTCGAACTTTACCCTTCAAAACCTAAAATTTATTATTAAATTTTCCTCAGACATGCTTTTTCCTTAAGAATCAACTCACAACCCTTAACAACTCACGATTCATGTCTCCATCAACAATTCCTTTGTTTCAAATTCTTTTTTCTACCTCAATCCTCTCATTTTTATCCACTCAATTTTCATTTACCCATTCACTTATCTCATCGACGCTAAATGACCAGCTAATTGATGTAAGACGATGCCAAAGACGATGCCAAAGACGATCGGAAGCGGCACTTTTTACTTTTGTGTTATTTTCTTCTCATTTATATTTTATTTGTTTTAAACAAAAGATTTATTTTAATACTCATACAAGTAGCTTCATAGCTACTTTATTCTCAATTGAACGTGACCATTCAGATTTGTGATGCTGTCTGTAATGTGAGATGTTTTTGTGAGGCGATAAAAAATAATTTGTTGATGCTCTTGCGTTGCTACTGCTCTTTGATGTTTGCATTTACACGTGATTTTGTTACTTTTATTATTGACGGTCGGAACTGCTTTTAAGGGTTCAAGTTTTGTTTGTTTTAAAAGTTTTGTTTCATCCTGTTTCGTAATTTGGAACTTCCGTGATATTTAAAGGTAGAGATTTTGGTTGAGTTGATGAAACGATGACTAAAATGTAAATCAATGCTTTGAAGCGATGACTCAAAATTAAGTCGAAACTTTGAAGCGATGACTCAAAGTTAAGTTAATGCTTTGAAGCGATGACTCAAAATTAAGGCAAAACTTTGAAGCGATGGCTCAAAATTAAGGCAATGCTTTGAAGCGATGACTCAAAAGTAAGGCAAAACTTTGAAACGATGACTCAAAATTAAGTCAATTCTTTGAAGCGATGACTCAAAATTGAGTCAATTCTTTGAAGCGATGACTCAAAATTAAGTCAATGCTTTGAAGCGATGACTCAAAATTAAGTCAATGCTTTGAAGCGATGGCTCAAAATTAATTCAATGCTTTGAAGCGACGACTCAAAATCAAGACAAAACTTTGAAGCGATGACTCAAAATTAAGTGAATGCTTTGAAGCGATGGCTCAAAATTAAGTCAATGCTTTGAAGCGACGACTCAAAATCAAGACAAAACTTTGAAGCGATGACTCAAAATTAAGACAATGCTTTGAAGCGATGACTCAAAATTAAGTCAATGCTTTGAAGCGATGACTCAAAATTAAGGCAAAACTATGAAGCGATGGCTCAAAATTAAGTCAATTCCTTGAAGCGATGACTCAAAATTAAAGAAAAACTATGAAGCGATGACTCAAAATTAAGTCAATGCTTTAAAGCGACGACGCAAAATTAAATTTTGATTTATTTTAAAACATTTTTATGTTCAACTTTTACTAAAATCATTCCTGGTTCCCTTAATTAACTCGATTCCTATTAAAAATTCAAACAAAATTCCAAAGCAACTATTTTTCTACCTCAAATCCTCTTCCAATTAAGCGTAAAATATAATAAATTCTTATTTTACCCAATTTAATACTCACTTTTTTGATCTAAATCGGCACAAATTTCTAGGAATTTTCTATCCCAAAAACTCAACCCGATTTTCATCACCTCTCAAATTCCGCGATATTTTTGCAACTCCTTCATTTCAATAAATTCCTAACTTTTCGGGTCCTCTTATGAGATCCATTTTCAGTCATCCGTAAAAAACTTGAAAATTATAAGCCAACAGTCAGTAGCAGAAATGAATATCAAAAGTGGCAACTAAAGATGGAAAAAAACACGCATCAATTGCTGGTTATTGGCGGCAAAACTTCAAAGGAAATCCCGCATGAGACTTTTTTTTTGAGTGTGATTTAAATTGTTGCCTTTTTGATTTCCATTTTTTGTGATTTTTGGTTTATTTGTTGCTCTGAATTTATGTTTTATTGAAGATCTGATATTAAAATCTGAACTATGTTGACTTCGTTGACTACCTTAATCTTAAATTCTCGCTTTAAAACATTGCTTTAGTTTTGAGTCCTCGCTTTAAAGCATTGCCTTAATTTAGAGTTATCGCTTCAGGACATTTCCTTTATTTTAAGTCGTCGCTTCAAACAATTTCCTCAATTTTGAGCCGTCGCTTCAAAGTGTTGCCTTAATTTTAAGTCGTCGCTTCAAACAATTTCTTAAATTTTGAGTCGTCGCTTCAAAGTGTTGCCTTAATTTTAAGTCGTTGCTTCCAATAATTTTCTCAATTTTGAGTCGTCGATTCAAAGCATTGCCTTAATTTTAAGTCGTCGCTTCAAACAATTTCTTCAATTTTGAGTCCTCGCTTCAAAGCGTTGCCTTAATTTTAAGCCGTCGCTTCAAAATTTTTTTTTAATTTTTTAGTCGTCGCTTTACACAATTTCTTCAATTTTGAGTCGTCGCTTCAAAGCGTTGCCTTAATTTTAAGTCGTTGCTTTACACAATTTCTTCAATTTTGTGTCGTCGCTTCAAAGCGTTGCATAAATTTTAAGTCTTCGCTTTAAACAATTTCTTCAATTTTGTGTCGTCGCTTCAAAGTGTTGCCTTAATTTTAAGTCGTTGCTTCCTATAATTTTCTCAATTTTGAGTCGTCGATTCAAAGCATTGCCTTAATTTTAAGTCGTCGCTTCAAACAATTTCTTCAATTTTGAGTCCTCGCTTCAAAGCGTTGCCTTAATTTTAAGCCGTCGCTTCAAAATTTTTTTTTTAATTTTTTAGTCGTCGCTTTACACAATTTCTTCAATTTTGAGTCGTCGCTTCAAAGCGTTGCCTTAATTTTAAGTCGTTGCTTTACACAATTTCTTCAATTTTGTGTCGTCGCTTCAAAGCGTTGCATAAATTTTAAGTCTTCGCTTTACACAATTTCTTCAATTTTGTGTCGTCGCTTCAAAGTGTTGCCTTAATTTTAAGTCGTTGCTTCCAATAATTTTCTCAATTTTGAGTCGTCGATTCAAAGCATTGCCTTAATTTTAAGTCGTCGCTTCAAACAATTTTTTCAATTTTGAGTCCTCGCTTCAAAGC